CAATAGCTTATGAATTAATAATTTATATAGTAGACTTACAATTTCTTTATTCATTTCTTGTGCTTATATAATCTCGTTTTCCCAGGCTTACACCCAAGTGCTACGCTCGGCGGCTCTTCCATTTCTCCGTCCACCTGGACACGTCGAATAGGTGGTTCCAAAATGAACATTTTCCGACTCCTTGGCGATGTTTCTCATTTCTTTGCTATTATTATCCTTCTACTTAAAATATGGAAAACTCGGTCATGTGCAGGTAGGCCTTGCTTACCTATATTACGCCTTCCTGAGGTCTTTCGGGCAAGAGTCAGATCGCGTTTGCGCTCGTCTTTACCTCTCGCTACCTAGATTTATTCACGTCATTTATCTCAATATATAACACGCTTGCAAAGATTGTCTTTATAGTTTCGTCATTTTCTACCATATATTTGATATATTTCAAATTCAAAGCAACCTACGATGGAAACCACGATACATTTCGTACGGAATTTCTTATTCTACCCTGTGTGCTCCTCTCGTTAATAGCAAATCATGAGTTCGCTCTTATGGAGGTAAGTTTTTATATGCCTTACTTTACTTCCCTAGATCCTATGGACCTTTTCCATCTACTTAGAATCTGTGGCCATATTGCCCCAACTTTTTATGATTTCAAAAACAGGGGAATCAGAATCCATAACATCGCACTACTTATTTGCCCTCGGTCTTTATAGGGGCCTCTATATATTAAATTGGATCTATCGTTACGTGCTGGAGGACTTCTTCGATTTGATAGCCGTTGTTGCTGGTGTGGTACAGACTCTACTCTACTGTGACTTTTTCTATCTATATGTAACAAGAGGTAAGATTAATTGACTAATTAATTGCAAAATCAGTACTTAAAGGAAAGAGTCTAAGTCTGCCTGCATGAACCAGGAAGAAGACATTCTATCATGCTAGAAGGCCTTCAAACTCGTCAAACTTTCTACTTCTACAAAATCTAACTGCCCCTCTGGCCCGTTACGGTTACAACGTGAATTTTATCAAGACCTCAGCGAACTTACTCAATGCTTGGTTTTCCTCGTTTTGATTTTTAGAGTACAATGGGTACTCGTTAAAACTAGTCTCGCCACTGAAAGCTACAAACCCAACTTTTATGTTTATATTTCTTGAAATGCCTTATATATTTTAACACAAAGCCATTCTTTTTGATAATTTCAATTACTGGATTCTTGTTGTTAGAAAACATTTATAATTCACATTAGATAATCACTTTAAGAAGGTAGGCTGGTCCATCGGGTCAACTTCTTATACCACAATACTTGGCTCAGCGATTGCTGTGCTACTTATCTTCAAGGTGGTAGTCGCTATAATAACTCGTGAGTTAGGCTTAACCAAGCCCATTTGATCATTTGAAATAACAAAATAGGACTTAAAATTTATCTTAATGTCTGTTCCCGGGCGTCGACAAAAATGATTAGCGGCTGATACATAATACTACCATCGTCATTGTTGGAAAATACCCTCATAAAAAATAATCAAACACCAATGGTATATCAAGTAATTTATTTTAAAAATGACTGAACTTAGGAGTTGATCTCGGTGCGCTTGTCAAACGATTCGACAATTGTCAAAATAAAAACTTGTATTTACCAATTGGGTGGCTGATTTGTAGCCGCTAGTAAGGATGCTATCGTAGAGAGCACGCAGTTCAGACTCGATTGCCTGGGAATCAGGATCTCTTCGCGGATAGG